ACTTATCGGAATCAAACGATTTCCGGAGATGTACTTTACAGATTGCCACCACTCTTAGCACCAAAAACTCGCAATGGAACTAATATCTCTCACTGAACACTGCCATTGGTTTCCAAAGAACTGTTAGACACACGTGTGTGTGTGTGTGTGTGTGTGTGTGTCAGGTGTGTCAAGGTCAGTACTGTGCGATGTGGCCTATAGGCACAAGTTTTATACACGTTTTTTATACACATTGCGAATTTCAGTTTTGTGATCAGATCTCATTGTTTAGGAAATTGCATATTGACTTGAATCCGACAGACTGATAGATTGATTCCTGAGAAAAATCACCACGTCAATTAGTTCACGTTCCTCCTTTTTTTGTTCATGTATGTGTGTGTATTCGGTCGGTAAACAGATGCGAAAAACCCTACCAAGGTGTAGGTAGCATTCATGCACGGGTTCGAACCCAACCAAACCTGTTAATCTGATCCGATTTGGACAAGATGAAACTTTCGAAACTGTTCCATACAGTGCTCTATTTTTATGTGTCGCGTTCAGTTCAGTTTGNNNNCACTATTGTGCACCGGTTTCGGTTGCTATCTTTTAATTGCCCATTTGGGTGAACATTAGGAGAAAGACAGCAAAGGTTTCAAGTAGGATCAAAGATACAATTTAAAATTTCAGTGGACAAATGTTGTAGAGCAATTGACAAGAAGCAAGAACGCCACTGTTTACAACACTCAGCCATATCACTCAGTGTCTCTAACCATCGGGTACGATCATCCCGAGGTCCCCCTCCAGGGTGCCTAACGGGACCTACATGACCGAGACATGACTTGACCACTCTTGGCTTTATTCCACTCACTACCTGCCTGGGCAAACATCACTCGCGGTGGCAACCTATTTGGTTACATACGTAACACATGCCTCAGCCAACGTAATCTATGGAGGTCGACCATTTACTCCGATGGGCAACCACGGTTACCTAAAACTCTGCGCCTAACTTCAGCACTACTCGTCCGGCGGCCCACCTAAATTCGTGCAATGCTGCGTAGATAGCGGTGTTCGAACACCGACAATCTATTTTTATCCTGTTTTCTCAATGGCCAAGGCCGAGCCTTCATGCTTAAAAGCCGATGGGGACAGCCCGTCTGGACCGGGGGCCTTATGCCTTCTGAGGTAGCTTATTTCCCGAGAAACCTCCATTTCAGATGCAGGACTGGCATCAACTGGGACTGTTTGCCCAGTCGCGGTGTAGGGTGATTGTTCAGATATCGAACGGGGGCTAGTTGAACTGAGCCTCGAAATGTTCAACCCAACGGTCAAAACGGCGTTGCGTGCGGTATGTGTTGCAATATTTGTTCTGATTCCCATCACCCGACTCCGTTGGTACACAAAAGCAATAAATGATCCATCTCCGCCCCCGTGATAATCTGAAATACGACTAAAGAATTGTAAAATATGTGCCCGTGTCTACAAGAAGCAAACCCATTCGTCCCCCCAACTTCACCCCCAACCCCACATCAAGTTGTATAGATCAAACTGATATGCATTAGATTTTTTATGTTGATTGTGAAAGTTCAGTAGCGTCGGCGAGATTGGAACCTACGCATGGACGCCGCCTACGTTTTTGGTACAGTGCATGCTCTACTCCAGCTGAGCTACGAAGCCACCCCGATAGCACTGATCTTCGCATTAGATTCTCGCACTACTCAAATGCCAAAATTAAACCAGAGTTTTTATAGAGGATACTACTGGAATTTTATGCATCGGTAAGTCTCCTGATTAGTCCCTCGGATTGAGCTGAATCGTACGCGTCGTATGACTCGTTTTGTAATAGTAAAAATAGTAAATGGACATTACCCGTGGGGTTCCACAAGGATCTGTGCTTGGTTGTCTGGTGTTGTCGGTTTCCACTCTTCTTCTTTTCCACTATTCTACTCTATTACTTCGAATAGACATTTGCTCGTGCTGTTCCAACAGTACAGTAATTGTCCTCTCCCCCCGTCCGCCCCCGTGTCCCTGTCTTTCAACAGGTTGTGCTACCTCACTATTGGAGTTCGGTAGACGACGGTCCAGTGAATACCTCCTCCGGTGACGATGAGCTACATCCTCTGCGATACGTTGTTGTCATGAATCTGCCTGCTTTGGCTCCGGATTTCCTCGACGCTTTCCTTCATCCGCAACCCGCAGATGAGTTGCTAAGTCCGAATTCCTCGGATCTGCGGTCGCTGTCGGTCGATGTGAATTGTGCGGACACGCGTCCGGCTTGTGGTAAACGAGCACGGACTGCCGCACTTCCTCTCGATGTGTACTGTTACTGTTTTGTTCGTCGGACTAGGGAATCGGAAGACACAATAAAACAGCGCCTGGCCAGTGCTCTGGGCTACGCAAAAAATCCGACCGATTTGTTCGATCGAGCACCGGACAGTCTTGGTCCCGGTCCCCGGGTGAATGTGTGGTCTTTTCGATTTGTTCGAAATGTGGCCCCGTTTAAAGATATGTTTTGTGCTGAGTTTCAGCTGACCCTTGACCGACCAGAAACCGCGTTAGAGCATGAGCTGATTGGCGAAAATGCTTGTCGTGTGGATCATAAGAAACCGAAGCTGGAAGCCTGAGGCGATTGGGGTTTTATCTTTCTCTTTCTGTACAAATTTTGCACTAATCAAAAGCTGTGTGGTCTTTTTGATACATATCCATAGACGGAAGTGGTGATCTGTTCACGTCTGCCAGGGTAGTTATCGTTCGTTTCACTCCTGTCCTTTGATGCAAGTTCTGGAAAAAGTCGTTATCGGGGCAATTTCAGTCGTTATCACTAACAGAGGGGAAAAATGATTGTATCACGTCTGTTTCAGGTACCCTGAATCTCATCATCCTCAGCCTTATCGTACAGCTCAATATAGTGAAGTGAACTTCACTGATCGCTGCCAAACTCGTCATGCACACGGGGTAAGTGAGAATATGCAAGGTGGATAGAGATTCGGCCTATTTGTAGGGACGGGAAAAGAAAGCAAACCTCCATGGTCAACACTCAGTAGAGAGTTCAATTGTGCATGCACGCTATTTCAAGCGTTCTTCCGGTCTTAGAGGTGACAACAAGATCGACATTGCTGTCATGACAATCAGGGTCTCCACCCATCCCGTTACGGAATCTTTTGGACCCCAACCCTGGAAGACGAGAGACACCTCTACCTGATCGCCCTGTGCATTACTTCATGCATCATCTGCTGGCCTTCATGTGGCTTTCTCCACTCTGCAGGGGCCACTGCAAATTAGGCGCGCTGCGGTAGGCCACCATCGGACCTACGGTGCCTATTGAGCTGAATGCGATACAATTACGCGAGCTTGTGTTCGATGCATTCCCAAACACCCGACCACTTTTCATAGACAATCTACCCCGGACATTGTGCGGCCACAAACGTTAATGTTTGCAGACGATGCAACAATATGGAAAACAGTAACAAAACCTGAGGACTAGCTGGCACTTCAGAAAACGCTTAATGCGAACTATAAACTGTCGATAGGAAATAATATGGAATGCAATGTATCAAAATGTACGATAGTATCTCTTCTCCACACACTCGGTGTCCACACTGTGTTTTCAGATCAACAACTTCCGTATACTTCGAATGAGAAGGATCCCGGTTTCATTGTTCAAGACGATCTACGTTGTTCTTTAAACTGCTCCAGAGCGTTGATCGCCGCTGTTCATTTTCTAAAGCGATTATTTAGCGAATGAGAACCAATACTATTCTTACGTTTGTTACCAGTACAGTACGCCATTCAAGTGTGGAAGAATAGCCACAAAGATGGTAAAGGAATGCAGTCTAAAACTTAATTGAAAAAAAAACTAGAAGCGCTGGGTTTGTACTCCACGCAGTCTCGCCGGAATTGGGAAGGGACTTAATTTTAGTGTATCAAATTATGCAAAAGCCTGACCATCCGTGTCGTTCACTGTTCGTCTTGTCGCTCACCCCTGAAGTTAGGTGGTAACCATTGAAATTAGTGCTCCAAAATTGTCGGCTAGAATGCCGGCATCACTCATTTACCCTCAGAGTGTGCAGTACTGGGAATCCCGCACCAGATCACGTTGTTCCTTCCTCCATAATGGATTCTTTCAAGGTCAAAGTTGGATGAAACATTGTCATGTTTTAAACTGCGTCATTCGTAGCCGTATACGAAACAATTTGAGAATTTGTGCCATTTTTTATCTTTCTATGGAACTTTGACTTCGTCCTCAAGAAAATCACCGACCAATCAGAACAGAGATGACGGAGTCTTCTGATCTGAATGGAAAGAATTGCCAGCTTGCGAGCAAAAGTTTAGGTATCTAAAGATCAGCGAAGATTGTTTTCAAGTGTGACACCTAAGTAGGTCGATCCCGCTCCATCGGTTTGCTCCTAATCTGTATATTGTTGGATAGAGGTGGAAAACAATTCGAATTCAAAATACTTTCAATGCCGTTTTGGGGATTAGACCGGCTAAAATGGAATGCATAACTATTCTGCCAGTTCTGATTGGTTTGGCATGGAAACAGGAATGGCTCTATCATCAGCATACTTGAACGGATTAGCTAAAGTCGCGGTCGATCTTTGGTCCGCAATATTTGTGCTAGACATGGAATTAAACTCAGGTTATTTGCAGTTGTACAGTGTGCCTCCTAGCGTTTCAGTTCACAGATTCTCTCGGAGTCCCGGTTGAAGACGAATTTTACTCATGAACGTGGCTTTTCAAGGAAAACATTGAGGGCTTTTATTTCTCTTCCTTTGGGGTGTATCATAGTTACGCAATGAATAATCGGTCAGAAGGCCTCGGTCAATCAAAGGCTAGGAAACAATGAACGGATAACCCGTCCTGCTTCCGCACACCCGGATCCTCTATCTTATTAGATTGATGGAAAGGAGTGACTGCAACCAGGTTGCGGACTGGATTCAACAACAAGCTTCCCGGAACAGTAGGGCGCTTAATTTCATCCCGGGGAAGGATAAATTATTACAATGAAGTTTTCAGTACGAAATGGCTTTCCCAGAATCCAGTGATGGCAAGTGCCGTCAGATATCTGACAATCAAGTTTACTGCAACTTTTGTGAAAACCACAGGTCAAATATGGAGTGTGCTCCTGATTGCAACAGTCTGACAACTTAATTGATGACAACTAGTGGTTAGTATTGGTTTCTGCTGGACTTGGCGAAAAGCCGCAGATAATTTCAACTGATCGTGCACCGATAAAAGGACATGTTTGGGACTAACAATTCGTCCAGAATGTCAGGTTTTGATTAGCCCGGGTACTCTTGATGGTCTTGCTTTTGTGGGTTTCACTCTTTGGTTGATCGCTGCTTCCTCACTGGTTGAATGCATTGGATCGCGATGACCGAAAAAGAGTACTGGATAACTGTTTCGTCCTGTTTGGGACTCACCAGGGAGTGAAACCTACAGAAAAACCATTAAGAGTGTATGATGCCTCTGAACAATCGAATGGGATGATCCCAACCTGATAGTCTAAATTGATTGAGCCATTCGCACAAGGTGATGATCGTCGACCGCGTAGCTCAGAGAAAAGAGGTTGAGGTACGAACTTGCATGTTCGCGGTTCGAGTCCTGGCAGAGAAGCACAATGCACGTACTGCTGAGAAGTCCTAAAAAAGATGAAATAGCTATCCAGTGCTGTTTGTCAGTGACAAATATTTTCCATCACACTTGAAATATTATCAGTGATTCGGAGTGTGGTTCACTTGATCAACTGAGGATTGTGTGTGAAGTTGAAGTCTGGAAGTCTGGTCAGTGCAATTCAAAACGAAATAAATAATATTGATTGCCTGACCATGAACTCGAAAAATAATTTCTTTAAAGTGAAGCAGTGAGGTCCGAGGGACAGATGAACCCCATGATGGCCATGTAACTATGGTTGGATCTTCATGAAAATCGGGCACCGTAAATTGCAGTAGTGGAACACATCTGGTTCCATCCAGTAAGGATGACCGTGATCCGGGCTATTGCAGTGCCTAAGATTTGAGTTTCCCTCTTATCGCTACATTTAATGTGTATGTTAATGCTTTATTCTGTCGGATTAAAAGTGATACGGACTGAGTGGTTTAATCATTTTATGAACGTTAACCGGTAACGGAGACAAAATATGGCGATCCAGAAAAATGGGAACCTTAGACTGGGCTTACCCAAACCGGTTAACTGTCCCCGGAAAACAAGGTGCATCTGGATTTGAGGACGTGTGTGGCCTGACGCGTTTACTACTTCTCCAGACTCGCGCACAATCCTCACTTCATCTAGTCTACCGTAACGTATATTGCGGTGGGGAAGCACAAATGAGTGTTATAGGCGCTTGCACAGATAGCAACCATCAGCGTGTATGTGTGTGCGATCGGTATCCATGTCCGAGGCGCCTGTTATTCTCATTCATAATGATGAGTTTCAGTTCCACGCAATCAGGGACAATTACTTCAGGGCACAATTCAAATGACATTTTGATTGGCAGTGGTGTTTGCCTGATTGAAAAGTGCTCTTCAGCTGCTTTTCATTCTTCACCTTTCTGAATAACTACAAAAAATATCGCCTCTCGCTCATGGGAAAGGTTCATTGGGGCGTGCCACTAGATGCATTCACGACTTTCGGGGGACCTCGTTCAGATGTGCGTGTCGTCCAAGGAGCGCGTTATCCCTGTTCTTTGTGAAGAGAAATTTCCATTGGAACCGTTGATCCTGTGATCTCACTTAGTAGCTGTGTTCCTAGGCCATACTTCATCTGATCCAGATTTGGAGGTCTCTACGACTTTCCACTCGGTTTATCCCTCTAGTCAAGCAGTGTGTCGGGGTTTAGCCACTGATACATGTGCATGCTTCAACCTGTAAGATTCACGGGTGACGGCTGTAAAAATGTTGAAGACCGGGCAAATCGGCTATACTCAAAAATGGTATACGGAGTAGCTCAATGTGTGGCGATAGCTTACCCAGCCACGAACAACTCCCTAGCCACATTCCCATTCCTGTTCACACGATCCATATCGTTAGCTAAAAAAAATGGTTGACCTTTAAGCACACCAAATCCCCACAATTTGCGCGCACAATCATAAATGAACCGCGAATAATCAACAGTTCACCTTCGAACTTGAGTTCTCGAGACCGTGTTCTGGAGTTTTCTAATTAACCATTGCCTTCATTTGACGTCATTGTTCCGCACAGGTTGATTTCATTCTACGTGTTCCCACACAAATCGTTTGGAACGTAATTTCTCTTACACAGCATAGTCTATCCGCCTCCGTTTATCTGTTTCCCGGTTTGTGACGTAATTAAAAACCAATATGTGGAACACATCATGTGGTTAACATGATGGAAGACAGGTTTAACTAGTCGACTACTGTTCACACTGTATGTCCAATACACGCTTTCCCGCCTGAGCCGATCAGAATGCGTGTCACAGTCAACTATATTGATGACGAAGGTGAGAAGAATCCGACTTAGTCAATTTTGTTCCCCATTGTGACCAATAACAATCAAGACCTATTGATGTATTGAGTCGAATGGTTGGAGCTACCAAACGTCATAGTTTCCACGTAGTTCTTGAATGGGTTAGTGGCCACGCTCATAACTAATATATAGTTATACAA